GCATCGGAGGAGTCTTCGGTTTTGGACGTCCTTCGTCGCGGCGCTGTGACGTATGCAGCCGACAAATTMGACCTTCGGAGGACCCGTCCTGCCGTTTTGGACACAGCCCGTGTGTCTGGTTGACCTTTGACCTGTCCTGAGCTGCACAATTTATCCACAACAATAATTGATTTAATTATTTACAGAAACATGGCGTTCAGCCACCAGCAGTCAGCTCAGCTTAGCTTTCACTGCAGCAGAAAACTTGTGTAGCTAAAATGTTAGCTTTTAGCATTTTAGCACAAACGTGCTCAAACGTTTAGCAACATTTAACCTCATTTTTAGCTTTTGTAACTATCTTCACAATGTTTAGTTTTGTGTTGAGCTAGCATGTTAGCTTCAGTCACACCGTCACTGTTCATCACTTTAACTCTTCCTACACTGAAGAACTGAAGCTAACTTGATTGTTAGCATCACTGTTTAAAGGGACAACAAACTTATCAGAACTTTATTTTGAAGAGAATTCCTGTCTTAATATTTTGTAGCTGAATATAATTGATGTTGACGAGCTTCATGCTGCTGTTTGTGCCTCATTCTGTCAGAAAAGAGAAGTTCAGTTTTATTTTTGCACTCTGTCTGTTCAGTGTTTTCTGGAAAATGTCATTTGTAGAGAAGATTAAAATGCTGTTTAGATGAATCATTAATAAACAATGAAGAAATCCAAACTGAGTTTTTTATTGATTCAACAAATAAACAAAATCAACTAGAAGGAAATCTACAAACATTCAGAAAAATGAAATCTGAGTTGGTCTTTCCTGGGTCTCTGATTGGACTTTAACCAGACTTTATTGGACTTGATTGGACTGTGATCAGACAACTTCCTGGTGTTTTTTATTCATCTCAGTAAACAGTTGGTGTTCCTTCCTGTTTCCTGTCGAAGTACAGCTGTTCTATGATTCACCTCTCACATGGGTGTCTTCTGTTTTACTACAGACTAATAAATAAATGGACCACCTGTGCTCCACATACTTCCTGTTAACTCAGGCTGTTTAGTTTAAATATTRATGCTGAGTCGTCGTTTCACTGCTGAGTAATGTGTCGACACAGCAGGTTGTTAGAAAACCTAACTTATTAATCTGCTCAGAAAGCAAAGAGTAAAAACAACTAATGATTATCAGATTCTTTCTGTTTGGAAACAGAAAATCTGCAGAAAAGCTGCAGCAAAAAGGATTTCTGGAGACAAACAGGAAATGGCCGAAGGCTGAGAGCCAATAGGAGGACAGCAGGAGGGTCACATGGACGTGGACTTGTTTTCTGTGTGGTCCATCGCCTTGTTGTCGTAGACGTTTTTTCTGCTTTGGTTCCTGATTAAAACACAAATAAACAAATAAATAGATCCGAAGAGAAGTGGAGAGACAGAGTCAGAACGTTCAGTACGGAAAGAATGTTCAGAACATATAGTACGTGAAGAACATATAGTACGTGAAGAACATATAGTACGTGAAGAACATATAGTACGTGAAGAACATATAGTACGTGAAGAACATATAGTA